CAAAAACATGCGGTCAAAAAAGGATTGACCGTGCATGAAACCAAAATTGGCGGCCAAACTGGTAGCTACACTTACAGCATTGATAAGAATTCTACAGCAAATATTCATTCATTTGTTAGCTAGACCGCGTTTTATGTTCAACTTTTGGCATGACGGTGGGTAAAATTAAATATGCGTCCTAGCTAACTAATGAATTAATATTTGCTGTAAAATTCTTATCACTGCTATGAGTATAGCTACCAGTTTGGCTGCCAATTTTGGTTTCATTCCTTAAAGTCGTACACTCAATCCTTTTTTGGCCGCACCTTTACCACACCTAAGGTGTTTTTGATTATATATCGTAACTTTCTGTCATACCACTAACAAGCCACAGCAAGTAAGAAAGTGACACTCGATAGTATCCAATATTAACTTTAGGATCGCAACCCTATTATCCGGAACAGACCTCTACTTTACAGAACCAACCAGATTCTTTAAAATATATGTTGGTAGGCTTTCCTCTCTAAAACAGTGTTAATAACTTTCTTTATAGTAACGCCATGGAATCTAGATTAACAGTTTCTTGTCATCACCCGCATGCACTCGGTAAACCCGTATCAAGCATCATCATTTATGCTAATTGCTTAAGCTAATATCACATAACACTGAACGCTCTTTAATTAGGAGAATTTCATAAAATTTAACAAATTTTTGCTTAAAAGTTAGCAATAAATAATAACCGTCCATCTGTATGATTTTTTTGAAAATTTCAGCGAGAAACTGCTAATCTAGTTTGCTTGGCCTAACCAATACTCGTTTATCTGTACGTCCTTTCCTCCTATAGTTTTGCTGCTCTAAATCAGGCGTCTTTAATCCGATCGACAAAAACTGAAAACGGCCCAATTTTACTCTTAGGTGAAGCTGTAGAAAAAAATGTAGACCGATATCTCACGTGACTTTTTACGTAGGCGTGCGCAAACATTTTGGTCAAATCTGAGCGGTTTTTGTTAAATAACTTTGCACATATGGCGTTTATTTAGACCAAATTTGACACATCTATATCAGTTGTTCCACATACAATAAATCGGGAAAAATACTTGATATTTCATTCCATTTTATGCTTAAGTAGTGACCTGGTATGGCCTGCTGGTTAGGGCCCTCGACTCGGTTCGAATCCCTGTCACCGAACGTGCTCGCCTTTTCAGCCGTGGGGGCGTTATAACGTGTGGTGAATCCCACTATTCGTTGGTAAAAGAGTAGCCCAAGATATGGCTGTGGGTGGTGTTAACTAACTCTAGTCTATCAATGCTAAATTAGGGATGGCTAGTGCAGATAGCCCTCTTGTAATTCCGGTTATCAAAGTAATCGTCAGAGTAGCATTTCGCTACAACTGGACCACTGGTTAGTATACCGTCTATTATCTAGACTCTTCCACTCTTTATGGAAATTAGGGTGAAAGTTACTGTTAAAGTACTCAGTGGTATCAAAGCAAATAGCATCCTGAGATCCAAACAGCATCTTGGGATCCAAATAGTATCTTAAGATCCAAACAACATTTTGAGATCCAAATAGCATCTTGGGATTCAAATAGCATCTTCAGATCCAAACAGCATCTTGGGATCCAAATAGTATCTTTGGATCCAAACAACATTTTGAGATCCAAATAGCATCTTGGGATTCAAATAGCATCTTCAGATCCAAACAGCATCTTGGGATCCAAATAGTATCTTTGGATCCAAACAACATTTTGAGATCCAA